GGCAGAACAGTACCCCAAAAAATTGTCTGAGACTTCAGTGTTGTGCTCAAGTAGCTGTCACCAGATACCAGGAGAAATTGTCTGTTATGTTATTGCACACTTGCAGTGCACATGCGGTCGTGTGGTTTGTCCGCATCTGCGCGAGGTTAATGGCCTCCTAATTTAATTTCACATCTTGGTCAAGGAAAAAGATAATCAGCAGAGCGGATCTGATGCTTGCAATGCAGGCGACCAAGTTTATTGATGTCCCCAGGAGTGCTAGCCAATGATCTTACAATCTACCCATGAGTAGGACCTGCACTAGTACATTGTATTCTGAATGTTCAGAGGACAGAACATATAGTTACACAATGGCCAAGTTACAACTGTATCACTGGATTCCTGAGGCCAAAGTAAAATCCCCGGTATCAGTAACATTCTGTACCTGCCATCATTCATTTGTATCGAAACTAAACATTCTGTTGTCAGTCAGCAAAGTCTTCAGCGAATCATATGTTCCATGTATCATCAGGGCTGCACACCGCCACCAACTTGTTTAGCATGTTCATGTGGATTGAGGCAATGCAGAATCGCTCAGAGTATTGGAGTCTACGAATGCACATAATGCTTTCCAGATAGGAACCAACATCTTGACTGGTGGATTCAAATTCTGCAAAACAAGCTCTTTCAGACCGTTGATGCCTTACGGTACACTTAAGGACATACTAAAAGCAGGCAGCATTTACCTTGAAAACAAGCATGAGCTCATATTCTTCACGTAGAAGCAAGGCCAAGCTCCAGTAGCAAGAGACAGGGGTCACATGCTCATTCAGCACTGGTTTTAGAATCTTGCCAATGGGCACAAATTTGCGATGAACTCTTCCACTGTGAAACAGAACTTTGATGTTAAGAAAATGAAAGGATCAAGCCTACATGTTCTGTAGCTCATAAGCCATCTAAAAACAGAAATGCTGGAAGTCTCCTCTAATTATTTCCAGCTAAAGCAAAATGAAAAGAGGGGTGCAAATGGGTGCCCCTAAGGGTCTCCACTCTCCACCAGCCCTCTTCAGTTCAATTATTAGTACTAGTTTTCCAAAGCGTGAATATTTTTGGAAAACTTGTACTATAAATTAAACTAAAGAGGCTCCATGGAGACCCTTAGGGATTGCCTGCAATTCACACCTCTAGAAAAGATGGCTCAATCCAGTGTTCCTGTCAAAGACAAGTACTGACAAGAAGCATGTATCTGTTTCACTTTGTGTTAAAATATTAAAAATGACAAAGAAAACACTTATTTCCTTTAGCCTTGTGAAGCCTTTGCTTCCTCCTATCTGTTTATAATTGTCTGTTCTCTGGGAATAATATTTGAAGAGCAGTAAATACTGAAAGCATGAATAGAAATTCCAGACTGCTTCTCCCATACCTCCAAAAGTGTTGCTCTAATTGAACCCCAAAAGTCGGCATGATCACCAATGACTCTGCACAATTAAAAATCAAACTAGATATCTAATAGGAGCACACAGTCTCACTTTCCTGTACTCATTTTCAACATGGATACCAAGAAATGTGGATCTTTGTTTTTCTCTCTGCAACACTGAAAATTTAACTACAAAGCACTCAGAGCACAGAGAAAAATAACCTTAGCACCCACCTTTCTTCACAGGGCCACATCGCAAGCATTTTGCAATTATACTGGCAAATGAAATGCTCCAAAGGGAACCAAGACATAAACTATCCTGCAACATTTAAGCACAACCATCCAGTTAAAATAGTGCCTATGATCAATCTGGCTGTACTCAACATATCTTAGGTTTTTACAAACCAAAAGGGAAGCAAAACAAATAAAGCATCACTAGGTTATTCTTCAGAAACCTAACATATCGCTTCACTAGTTCAAACTTGAATCTATATTACTAGTATAAGTAGCTCATGAAAAGGATGCTATATGGCAACAGCATATCCGCACAACTGAATTGTTTCAATTGAATTGCGCCTTTTGTAATTAACATGCCCAGCTCTGGAAAAGACGAAACTGAAAGTGAAAACCGACAGTCAGTTTTGAGTGCTGTTTCAAGAAAAATACCTTCGACAACAGGGCGCAGCAAACAGTCACAAGAAGAAACATTGTGCCGATGTATGACAGCAGAACCCTGAATTTGCTCTTCTTGACAAAGATGACATGGATATCAGCTCCTCCATCGTGGTGATGCTTGTAAGTGTACAAGCCATCAGATATCCCATGTTCTTGCTGCCCCATGTATGAGCCCATCAGAAGACTCTAAGCTTCCTGTACAGCTCACATCAGCCTTCACATGGTCAGTTTCTAAAAGGACGCTAATGGGTGAATCTATCAAAAGACACTTCTTATGAATTTTGTATGCCCTCCTCATCTCCCTATAAGAAGACAACGTCGTCTAAGAAAAAAAAAAAGAATCGCTAGCTGTGCAGTTGACGAAGTAGTAAGGCGAGAAATCCTATCTTCCATACAGATTCGCTTCTAACGTTACCGTCAGCAAACTGGTGAGAAAAGACGACATCCGCTATGTACCAGTTCAGCTTTTCCAAATCGGTCCAACCAAATAGCCTCCCAGTCCACGAAATGTACAGGAATCGGAATAGGAATGCGTGCGCATGGAGTACGCGTACCTGGGAGTGAAATCCCCTAGGAGGATGCGGACGAGCAATGGCGGCACAGGGACAGAGCAAGGGCAAACCGGTGGCGACATAGGTGGTTTGGAGGAAGAGAAGTAACTGACGGACGCGATGTCTCCAAGGCTTGTACTTTCTATTCGTCTGGACCGTCGATTAGCTTTAGACCCAGAGCCACTCCATGTGTATGCTATTTGCCACAACACCCTCGCAGACTGAAATTTACAGCATTGAAGTTTTTTTCCACATCTTTATACTGTTTTGAAAACTACTGTAGTATAAGATAGAGAGGACAAATGTTTAAACTTTAGTTGCCTTCTCATCTATTTGCCTAGTTCTATATTATTTTTGCAGTTCTTCTAAAACTTATGAATTTGATGCAGGGCTACATGTCTTCAGCTCATTCAACACACAACAACAACATCAACAAAACCTTTAAGTCCCAAATAAGTTAGGGTAGCTTAGAGTTGAAACCCAGCAGAAGCAATCAAGGTTCAGGCACGTGAATAGCTGTTTTCCAAGCACTCATATCTAAGGCTAAGTCTTTGGGTATATTCCATCCTTTCAAGTCTCATTTTATTGCCTCTACCCAAGTCAACTTCGATCTTCCTTTGCCTCTCTTCACGTTACTATCCTGGCTTAGAATTCCACTACGCACCGGTGTCTCTAGAGGTCTCCGTTGGACAAGCTTTTCTTCAATTGGTGCTACCTCTAATCTAACACGTATATCATCGTTCTGAACTCGATCCTTTCTTGTATGACCGCAAATACAACGCAACATACGTATTTCCGCGACACTTATCTGTTGAACATGTCGTCTTTTCGTAGATCAATATTCTGCACCATACAATATAGCAGGTCTAATCGTCGTCCTATAAAACTTGTCTTTTAGCTTCTGTGGTACCCTTTTGTCACATAGGACACCAGATGCTTGGCGCCACTTCATCCACTCTGCTTTGATTCTATTGCTAACATCTTCATCAATATCCCCGTCTCTCTATATCATTGATCCTAAATATCGAAAGGTATCCTTCCTAGGCACTACTTGATCTTCTAAATTAATATCTTCCTTCTCCAGAGTAGTAGTGCCGAAGTTACATCTCATATACTCAGTTTTAGTTCCACTGAGTCTAAAACCTTTGGACTTCAAAGTCTCCCGTCATAATTCCAGTTTCTGATTCACTCATGTCCGGCTTTCATCAACTAGCACTACATCGTCCGCGAAAATCATACACCAAGGGATGTCCCCTTGTATGTCCCTTGTGACCTCATCCATCACTAAGGCAAACAGACAAGGGCTCAAAGCTGACCCTTGATGTAGTCCTATCATAATTAGGAAGTTATCCGTATCTCCATCACTTGTTCGAACACTAGCCACAACATTGTTGTACATATTCTTAATGAGCCCGACGTATTTCGTTGGGACTTTATGTTTGTCCAAAGCCCACCACATAACATTCCTTAGTATTTTATTATAAGCCTTTTCCGAGTCAATAAAAACCATGTGTAGGTCCTTCCTTTTCTTCCAATACTGCTCCATAACTTGTCTTATTAAGAAAATGACTTCCATGGTTGACCTTCCGGGTATGAAACCAAATTGGTTCATAGAAACCCGCGTTATTGCTCTCAAGCGATGCTCGATAACTCTCTCCCATAGCTTCATAGTATGGCTCATCAATTTAATTCTCCGGTAATTAGTACAACTTTGAATATCTCCTTTATTCTTATAGATCGGTACCAATATACTTCTCTACTCGTCAGGCATCTTATTCGATCGAAAAATATGGTTGAATAGCTTAGTTAGCCATACTATAGCTATGTCTCCGAGGCATCTCCACACCTCGATTGGGATACCATCCGGTCCCATCGCCTTACCTCATTTTATCCTTTTCAACGCCTCTCTGACCTCAGATTCTTGGATTCTCCGCACAAAGCGCCTATTGGTGTCATCAAAAGAGTCATCCAACTGAAAGGTTGTGTCCGTATTCTCACCATTGAACAATTTGTCAAAATACTCTTGCCATCGATGTCGGATCTCATCCCCCTTCACCAAGAGATGCTCCCTTTCATTCTTAATGCACTTAACTTGGTTAAGTCCCTTGTCTCTCTCACGATATTTAGCCATCCTATAAATGTCATTCTCTCCTTCATTCGTACTCAAATGTTGGTAAAGATCTCGTACAACAATCAATTTTATTTGCCAAAAAAAGATGAGATTCATTACAACAATCAATTTTATTTGCCAAAAAAGACTCAATCAATCAAGTCCTAGTACAACCATTTCCATTTAGAGATTACATCAATCAATTAACTACGGAGTATGCTCTTCTTTACAACGATGTTACAACTTGCAAGTATACAAATAGCACACTCTACAACAATGGAACCAGTGTTTTTGGACTTTTGGTCCTCTGGGCAACAGTTCTGAACGGTAAATCAACAAACACCTGGTCGCAGCATGAAATAAAAATCCATTACTGCTTCATACTGTTCCAGTGCGCTTTTTCTTTCTCCATTCCCATGGTTTCTCAGGGTTCGACGATGCCCACAAGCCTGTTCGCCTTGTCTTTGCCTGATTCTCCCACTGAAAATTTACATCTATCACGAACCTCGAATTTTTGGAAATAAAATGACCAAAGCATGCTCTTGTCAGTCAAGTGGAATGGAGCAGTCCATTCTGCCATACTGAGTAGAGTGGTACAAGAGAGTACTAGTTACCTTGCTGAGCTCCATCCGATGATCATAAGTACTATAGTGCCATGCAAGTCCTTTCCTCAGCATGTGTTCCTAATGCAAAATAAATAATAACAATAATTCATTTCAATGTCCTCAGTGTTGCTGAGCATTAAAGCCAGAACAAGTGATCTTCAGCTGAGGCGATGCAACATTTTCTTGCATAATTTACCATCTTTACTATTGATTGGTTCCAGCGCATATGTCTACACTTTTTCCTAAGGAGAAACCCCACACCTTTCACAATCAAACAGTATGTTTCATTTCCTTTAGTATATATAAGAGAACCGGGACAATGCAGGTGCAGTGTTTAAGCTATGCATTATAAAATTACAAGAGTAGGTGCCTTCAAGAAAATTCAAAGAGCATAGGGAGCAACAGATCATCCACTGATTTGATAGGTTACCACTGCTAGATTTCTAGAAGAGTTGCCACTACTACTTTCTAGAAGAAACTCTAAAAGCACGTCAGTGTAGTTTCTTACCTGCACGAAAACCCCATCACAGTCAACATCTCCAACTAAGCGACCGTACCAGTCAGTGTCATATATGGAAATCTTCAAGCTTTTCCCCTGCACCAGCCTCACCAGCTCCTCTTTGGCCTCTTTGCCATATGGCATTAAGCTCTCTGGTGCATCAATCCCCCTGCACTGCATTTTATTATATCACAACTACACTCCAAATAGAAAGAAGCCTGTGATCATTGATAAAGAACAAGTGTGGGCAAACCTTAGCCTTATCCTGTGCTTCTTTGCAAGAATTTGTTCCCCACCGATGCCACGAACCTGTCTACACCCAGGAATAAAAACTCAAAAGTATCAGAACTCACATAAGACTATAAGAGAAGGATGGCTACTTGGTTGTTGTGAATTGTTCTCTATTTTTCAAGGACCTATATCCTGCATCAAGTATGATCTTCAGTAAATCACCAGTTTTTTGGTAATTATTTGCCTCCAGAGCCTTGCTCCGCTCAATGCCCGCTTCACGCACTTCCTGGGGCACATTGCTAGACTCTGGATGGTGAGCCACGTTAACATACACAGTGATCGTGTCGCCGTCAGTTACAGCCTTAGCATCCACCTAAAAAACTAGCGTGTGCATTTGTCAGCACTTCGCTTTTACCAATATGTCAATGGATATACAAAGGGAGGGAAACATCTTACAGGAAGAGTGCGCAACTCATACTTAACCCCTTGAAGGTTGCGGCCAATAGGTGTCAAGCGAATGCACCAAAAAGAGCCAAGACAGAGCTCCTCCTGCAATGGCAATACCAGTAATAACCAATATAAGGCGAGCACCAATTAAAGCAACTAACGGAAACACAAAATATTGACAGCGTTTCTACAGATGATGGATCTACTGTGCTAGCAACCTTGCAGAACAGATTTATGAAGGAATCCTGTTTCACTCTTCACCAAATGAACTAAGAGCAGTCCAGGACACAAACACAAGTGGTGGGGATCCTCTACGAGGAGACGAAAGAGAGAAAGGAATCCCTGAACCAATACCTTTGAGGCTAGGGTGCGGCTAGCGCCCGCAAGGAGGGCAATGGCGCCGATGCAGCAGACAAGCACCAGCGACGGCGGCGCGCGCTTCTCGGAGACGCCGGCACGGCCGTGGAACGACCCCCTCCTCTCTTGGCGACACCCGGGAGCGCTCATGACGCCGGACTTCCGCGGCACCTGGCAACCGCGCGGCGCGCTCAGGCGGCCAGGCCAGGCAGGGCTAACGCCGTGCGGCAGGAGCTCGGCGGCCGGGTTCGCCAATCTTCGGGGCCCGGTCGGACTCGAATAGGCTGCCGGCCAGCCGCCACTGCATGTTTTTTTTAAGGCTTTTAACTGTGTGCCATTATAAAAGTAAGTAATTACTCATAAGCCATTAAGAAAATTAAGTTCTCACATGTGCCACTGTTATGAACTTTTTTTTTGCTCTTCACGTCACTTCCGTCAGATTTGGCTGTAACGGTGTCAAACCGCGAGTGTGAAAAGTCAAAAATATCCTCAGGTCTGAATATGTAATTATTTTTTTGAAGTATCTTAATGACCTCAAATAAAAAAAAAACTTAAAACTAGAAAGTTGTAGATCTCGATAATATCTACAATTTTTGTATAAAAATTATCTTCATTATTTTCGTAAAAAAGATATGATTTGATATGATTAATGTCTTAGAAAAGTCACATTTTTTTTTGTATGGAATCAAATGAAGATAGTTTTTATATAAATATTATAGATCTCGACGAGATCTATAACTTTCTAGTTTTGAGTTTTTTTATTTGAGATCGTTAAGATGCTAAAAAATTAATTACATATTTAAACATGAGGATATTTTTGACTTTTTATACCCGTAGTTTGACACCGTTAGAGTTAAATTTGACGGAAGTGGCGTGGAGGGCAAAAGAGTTCAGAGCAGTGGTACCTGTAAAAACTCAACTTTTTTAATGACTTGTGGATAATTACCGACTTTTATAATGGCACACTGGTAAAAGCCTTTTTTTTTTAATTATTACTAGCCAAACATATCCGTATGATACAGTATACTACGACGACACAAAATGCCCTTTACAAGAATATAAATAGTACATCAAATACCAAATCAATCCGCTTTTTCTTTTGGTTGTCCATTGTCCTCTGAACTTGAAAATTGTACTGAAAAGACAAAAAAAAAACACTCTCGCCATATAAGGTTTGAAGACCAGAGAAGCTACTCGTAGCTGACAATGAGATTTAGTCACACCAATCTGCTCAGAGCTACAGAGTAGCTAATGGTTATATTGAGTCATCTTTGACAAATTTCAATCAATTTTGATACATTATTAAGGTGTAAATGTGTAATTCTAAGGTCCGACTTTTGACCGCGAGGAACACATATATACATAGTCACATCAATTTGCACAAAGTAGGAAGCAATCATATCAAGTCATCTCCAATAAATGTAATAAACTTCGCTAAATTTTAAGGTGTGAATATGAAGTTTTTTAATTCTAGGGTTCAACTTTTGATGTGGAGCCTACATGTACATCTAGTCACATCATAACGAGTCATCTCTAATACATTTTAGCCAATTTTGCTATTTTTTAAAAAATATAGATGCGTGGTTTTTGACTCTAGAACTCAACTTTTGACATAGGGCCAATATGTAGCGATAATGACAGTTTTGTTATTATTATTGTATCATATTGAATTGGTTTAGACATGTAGCTATAGTAGTAGTTTTGTTATTATAGTAATAGGGCCAACATGAGCTATTGTATTGAAAATCAGTCATTTTGCATTGAGGCAGGATTCGACTAAGGATTTCTTCCGTTGAATTTTAATTGGGTTTCTCTGTAGAGATTTGGATCCTAATCTATTATCACATCTAAAGGCTTGTTTGGATGTACTCGTATTTATCTTAATTTATGTGTACTAAAGTGCATTAAGATAGATCTTAAACTAAATTTTAACTTGTTCCAAAAAAAAATAGCTTAGCCTACTCTACACGTAAATTTAGGTGGATACATATGCACCCATTACCACGTCTAGATGCAATTGCAAGCAAGAACATTATCTCTAAATAACTGACCGCGCGTAATCGCATGTCCACTGTCAGAATCCGTGCTTACAAAAGACTTTGCGAGGGCACGCAGACATAGGACAATGGGGAGCACAAAGACGCGCATGGCGACCAGCCAGCCAACAAACCGTGGTTGCAGAATAGACAAATGCCAGAAACAACCCCCTTACACTGCAATTTGTACAGAGAGACTTTTTTTTTGCTGGCAATTCGCCGCCTTTGTGATACAGATTTTTCACCAATATACAGTGCCACTCCAAACCACACCAAATGGAAGGAGTGGCGGGTATGCTTCTTTGCTGTCAAATATCATGCAAGGGCAATTGGGCATGCACCACACTTAGTATATGACTATTCCGGTCTAATCTACGGTAGAATCTACAGGCAACCGCTCGTGCAGCCGGTAGATGAGCCGTGATTTTGTCATCTGAGGCTCCCTCTCAAGGGCACAGATGACATCCTTCACGGAGATCATTCGTTGTGGACCAGCATAGGGTGTCCTGCCTGGTCTATTCATGCCTCCTGAAATGAACATTACCATACATATCGTGAGTTAAAACATTATGCAAATATGAGATGTGGATTTAATACACCAAAAAAATTTGATGAGGTCATGCTAGTGATATTGTTGCTGCTTTACCAGTTCCGAATGCCACCGAATGGCTCCTCTTTGAACCTTCCTGGTGTTCGCCAGGACCTTTTCCAAATTTGGATAATGGCCTGGAACCTGGTCCTCTGCCTGGCTGTGAAGCAGCAGACACATCAAGGCCTTCTCGCTTCTGCCTGGCTTGCTCAGCCATCAACTGCCACTTTGAGAGCATATCGCTTCCTCCAACTGCTTGCCGAGCAGCAACATTCGCAGCATTCGTTCTCATTTTATCATCTTCTTCCTTGTTGGGCTGTGAGAGGTTAAGGATGTCAGGAAATGGAGATACATCACACTCAGAAATCAATGCAGAAAAGTTACCTTGACATTCTTTGGGCGACCTTCCTCTTTTTCTTTTTCCAATTCTGTAGCACCACTGCCATCAGCCTACAAGGAAGGACTTAGTTAATCAAATTGGCCAACTGCAACATAAGTTCACCATGATGGCATGACACAAGAAATACGCAATGGAGAGTAGTGTAGTCAGTGCAGATTTATTTTCAATCAATCTTGTTAACAACAACCATCGCAAAGCCTTTTAGTCCTACACAAGTAGGGTTAGGCTAGAGCTCAACAATCTTGTTAAGTACATATCATAAGAAAAAGATAGCAAAGATGAAACCAAATCTAGAGACACTAGAAACATTAATCCTTAAGGGCGTACCCAGTGCAGAGAGCTCCCGCTCTGTGCGGGGTCTGGGGAAGGGTGTCAGTGGCAAGCCTTACCCTCACTTGTGCAATGCGAGGAGACCGCGACTCAAACCCGGAACCTTCCGGTCACAGGCAGTAAGACTCTACCGCTTGCACCATGATATGGGAAAACTTGAAATACAAATGGCATTGATAAATGAATGTGCATGCTTCTCTGTGTAACAGTTTAAATTCCAGCAGTTCATAATTACACAAAGCAAGTATATAAACTAAAAAACTACTATATATTCAAATTTATAGCAAAATTGCAATACTCGAATCAAATGGAGATTATGAAACACCTCAGTTTGTTTCTTGTTCTTGTCAGCTTCTTCTGCTTGTTTTTTATCCCATTCTTCCTTAGCTTTCTGGTTCATCTGTAAAATTTGACGACCAACATCTGAAGTAATAACTAGTCGATGCCCGGTCTTTTCAGTATCGATTCTCTAACAAAAATAAGAATGGTTAGAATCACAAAGTAGTGAACTATGCTATCATTGGCTGGTCTGAAGAAAAGAGCAAACCTGTTTTGAGACTCGTATGAGAGTACTTATGAGTCTTCGCAAACGCTCCTCCACACACTATGGCAAAGTTATAAGTTATGGATACTGCAGGACTCAATGAAAATCATAAGGATAACTCACCATTGATAAACAGTGTTCCACATCGCCACTAATATTCTTCAGATTGCATTTCCGAGCTGTCAAAAACACGTGTTCTGTTATTGTTGCCACTAAAGTTGTAGGATTTGTTGTTTTGGCAACAAGTTCAAAGAAACTAACCGATTTCTGCTAGTTTCTTCAGGAGTGGACCCTTCCTTAGGAAAAAATTTTCTTCTTCTTCCTGTGCAATTCTTCGTGCTTCTTGTGAGGCAAGGCTCTCTTCCATAGGGGCAGACAGTAATTGTTCTTCCTCTTCCTGTCAAGTAAGAACGTATCAGCAAAATGCAAACAGTGGACCAAAAAAGCACACAAGTCTGTCTCCTATAGACACATGATACACTGGGCTGACAGGCCAGATGCTATAGAGTGCAGGAGATGATGCATGAATCATGGTTATTAAGGCGGTAAAGCGAGGCGTGGCGACCAACTACCGCCTTACGCTTAAGCGAGGGCGAGGCGACGCCTTACCAACTAAAGAAAAATTTAAAACAGCAGCTCAGAGCAGTATATAGATGATAAAGAAAAAGGAAAGGAAAAAAGAAAAAGATAGTAGGAGGAGTAAGAAGTGGTCTGGCCCAGCCCACGTGCACCAAGCAGCCCATGTGCCCCTCACCCTCGTTGCCCTAGCGTGTCTTCAACTCTTCATCTCTCTCCTGCGCCACTCCGCCGCCGCAACACTCTGGTCTGACTTCCACCTCCCTCCCTCCCTCCCTCCCTCTCTCTCATTCCGTCTCCGCCCCTTGCTTCCCTCACCTTCCTGCTTTGGACGCTGCACACTGATGGAGGAAGAGGAACAGAGGAGGCGGGATGCTGCAGGCCAGCGCTGATTGGTGGAAGACGGCCCCGGCCCGCAGGCGGCCGCTCCTTGCTGCGGCTGCACGGCTCGATGGCGGGCGGTTGGCAACTTCTCCCGTCGGAATGGGAGAACGCGTTGGTGCGGGCGACCTGCAGCTTCTGGCTCCCCTCCCGCTCACTGGTGTGGAGTCTCCCGCGCGCCCGCTCTCTGGCTCACTGGTGTGGAATCTAAGGCGAGTCGTCTGCTGTGGCGTCGTGCGTGCAGCGCCTTGGCGCTTAAGCGACGCCTTGATAACAATGGCAGGAATTGTGAAATTTTAAGCATAAACGGTGTATGCCAGAATTTTAAACATTCTTTTGGAACATCCTTGTGGTCCAACCGACATAGCATAAGCAACAGAAAATTCAGCAGAACATGTGCACTGATGCTATAAAATGTAGAAGTACCCTCATGCAAAATTTAAAATTCAATCCATCCCTATCGTAGACACTAGAGATGTTGTATTGCTTATCAGCTTGGTATAGAATTTTGAAATCAAATTTTAGCAACTATATCTGATATCACATCAGCTGCACAGTTATATAGCAGATGTGACCAGTGCAGCCATGAATTTACAATAGAGGCCAATGTCCATCAGGAGGGTTATTTCTACATGAAAATTGGCAAAACATCAACCAGAGATGTACATACCCTGATATTAACACCACTAACGGCTGTGACATCATTAAGTTGATCGATGCTTTGTTCCTGGAAGGCTCCAGACGTCTTCTGCTTTTTGCTGATGACAAAAGAGAAATATGCTTAGGGCTATCCAAAAAATGTAAATATTGCATAGCAGTTTAGTACATTTAGACTTCACTTAATTAAAAACCTTGAAGGTTGCGTAGAGCCTGCTGCTTCCAATGATTTCTTCTGCCCACCCGATTTCTTGCTACTCTTTGCACCTCCACTAGCATTGGGTGTAGAGTTAGGAGTTCCCTGGCAAGACAGAAAGACGAGGTAATGTATGAGTCTGAATGACATGCGCACAGGCCTAAAATAATTGCACAGTCTAAATTAAGCATGAAAGAAATGCAAAAATATACGTATATAAAAAAGGAAACAAAGGTAGTCAGACGGGGAAAGAATCCTACTACTATTTCATTTCTAAATTATGTAAGGTTTGTCATTCAGAAAATAAAAATGCATTTGGACTTCACCTTGTTTGGGTGAAGACTGTAAAAACGCAAATGGAACTCATAATTGAGAGTTTATCTGACAACAGAACTTAAGGTTTGAATATTATATATATTAACTATATGCAAAGCGACTCTCCATAAGCTCATTTGCTAATATGAAGGATTAAGCATCTCATTTGTAACTAATGCAAAAGTAAATGCCCTCAGAACTGTGGTTTTGGCTTACTAGTTACTAGGTTATCGTACTAATTACTAGGTTATCCTGAAATTTGGCCAACACAAATTGACATTAGATCTGTAATCTGTTTAGAAGGCAACATGCACATTTTACTGTCTAGAAGCTTCTTCCCTAAATCCATTAAAACCACATCATGTACTAATTACAAATCTGAGTGACCTAAAATTCTCTCCACTCCTACTACATTCTCAATGCCACCACCCTCCCAACAAACCAGTTCTGCCTAATCACTTAATCAGCACCACTTTCCCTGCATCTCAGCTCACCCATCACAACACACATGGTTAAACATGATTCATAAATCGCTGATCACATCTTGTTATGTGCCTTCTACAGTAAAGCATCCTCTGGGCACCCCTATTATCTGACAGCTCCACCAAACACGAAGAGGCTACCCTCAGAACCCAACATTCCACATTACAATCCTGAACTACCCTGCATGCAACAACCAGACCTTGTGCAATATATGCCCAACCAGTCAACATTGTCAAATTATATGGTGCTTAAATGTTGGTAAAAGACTGAAAAGAGGTGGATTGTGATTAATAATTCTCTGAAATTCAGAATAAGAACAAAACCTAACTGGCACTGCAATTGGTCATATTGTTCCAAAACTTGATTATACCAAAGATGCTAATGCAATCAAAGTGCTAAGCATCCTAGGTGAGTCATGACCAATCTTCTATATGCCCAACCAGTCAACATTGTCAAATTATATGGTGAATAAATGTTGGTAAATGACTGAAAAAGAAGTGCTTTGTGGTTAATAATTCTCTGACAACAACAACAACAACAACATAGCCTTTCAGTCCTAAGCAAGTTGGGGTAGGCTAGAGTTGAAACCCACCAAGAGCTCCAAGTCACGGTCCAGGCACTTCAATAGCTGCTTTCCAAGTACTCCTATTTAAACATAGATCTCTAGGTATATCCCAAGTTTTCAAATATCATTTTATTGCCTCCCCCCATGTCAATTTCGGTCTTTCTCTACCTCTCCTCATATTATTAGCTTGGCTTAGGACTCCACAATGCACTGGTGCCTCTGGAGGTTTCCTTTGGACGTGGCCAAACCACCTCAACAGATGTTGGACAAGCTTTTCTTCAATTGGTGCTACCTCTAGGCGATCACGTATATCATCGTTCCGAACTCGGTTCATTCTTGTGTGACCGTAAATCCATCGCAACATACGCATTTCTGCAACACTCAGTTGTTGAACATGTCGAATCTTTGTAGGCCAACATTCTGCTCCATACAACATAGCCGGTCTAATTGCCGTTCTATAGAACTTGCCTTTTAGCTTTTGTGGTACCCTCTTGTCACAGAGAATGCCAGAAGCTTGTCGCCACTTGATCCACCCTGCTCTAATTCTATAGCTAACGTCCGCATCAATATATCTATCCCTCTGTAGCATCGATCCCAGATACCGAAAGGTATCCTTCTTAGGCACTACTTGACCTTCCAAACTCACATCTCCCTCCTCCTGTACAACTCCGCCAAAGTCGCATCTCATGTATTCGGTTTTAGTTCTGCTCAATCTAAAACCTTTAGACTCAAGGGTCTGCCGGCATAACTCTAGTTTTCTATTTACTCCCGCCTGGCTTTCGTCCACTAACACTACATCATCAGCGAACAACATACACCAAGGGATATCCCCTTGTATGTTCCTGGTAATCTCATCCATTACCAAGGCAAAGAGATACGGGCTTAAGGCTGACCCTTGATGAAGTCCAATTTTAATCGGGAAGTAATCTGTGTTACCATCGTTTGTTCGAACACTAGTCACAACATTGTTGTACATGTCCTTGATGAGGGTCACGTACTTTGATGGGACTTTAAGAACAAAACATTCTCTGAAATTCAGAATAAGAACAAAACCTAACTGATACTACAATTGGTCATATTTTCCAAATTTAAATGCTCCAAAAACTTGATTGTGCCAAAGATGCTAATGCTATCAAAGTGCTGAGCATCCTACGTGAGTCAATGGCCAATCTTCTATTCAAACAACAAAAAATCTGTCTCTCAAAAATGCATTTTAACTCTCTCTATTCTGTTTAATATGAAATTAAATGAAAATAAAATGCTAGCGAGAGAAAAAAATAGAGTATATAAATAATACAAACTGCATAAATGAAAAGTAATTGATGTCTCACATTATTCAAAGATACTTGAATCAACTGAACCACATGTGACATTTATATGTATTAACATGTGTCATTTCAGAGACAGATCAAATGATATATTAGGTGGACTCACCTGCTTTCCTTTAGCAGAAGAACTTCCTGTGCCAGCTATGCGTGCTTTGCCAACAGATTCAGAATTTTGCTTCACATTAGCATTTGGAGGGGGAGCATTAGTTTTCAATTCCTTGTTTTGATGCATTTGCCATGCAACTGCATTGTGCTGCATCATTGGATGAGTAGGAGGAGGGACGATTTTTGCAGGAGCCATTCCAGGAGCATGCATGGATGGCTGTGATTCTGGAACAGGACTCGGTGATCTAAGAGAACCAGTGATTGACCGAGGGTAAGCCTGGGCACCGGGATTACTTGCTCCATATATTTGCTGTGAGGCCTGCTGCAACTGTGTTGGTTGATGTTGTTTGTTCTTTGCTTGCAATGGAACTGCTGTGTTCATTCTAGGTGGTTGATTTGGTACAGCATTTGTTCCCTTTGCGTCAGGGTTTTGGTTCGGGTTATCATGAGCAAGATAGTGTACACTATTCTGCGCTTGAGTGCCTGATGGTGGTGCAAAAGCCTGAGGTGAAGATGACACCTGGTTTTTGTGACCTTGGTTGGGTGGTCCAGGTGGCCGAAGTTTCTGATCATGTAACTGTGCTGAACCACTGGAAGGCATCTGCTGTGAAGAAACTTGAGAGAATAAAGACTGCTGACTTGGATTTGCCTGGCTATTTCTTTGCGCCTGTGCTTGCATCTGCAAAAATTGTTCAAACAAAAGAATAAACATATGAAATTGAATCATTCACTAAACATTCAATTTAAGAGTGGGCCCATCAAGTGTGACGAGTACCCATCAAAACAAAAGTGTGACGAGTAGTTTTTTGTCAAGGAAAGAAACAGAAGCAATGAAGTTAATGCAATTCATTCACCTGAACAAAAACTTTATGAGCTGCCTGCTTGAGCATTTGATCCCCAACAATATTCCTGATAACTCTTAAGAAATCATCTTTGTGGACTTCATTACGCTACAAACAAAGGACGATATAACTGAGTTAGTTCATTCAGCAACGCTGGTGCAAACACTGGTGCTAAGTGTGTTCTTTGAGCCTTTGTTGTTTTTGTTATCTACTTTCTTCAAATACGAACAAACTAGTAGAAACAAGGTCTTTCCTAAATTGTCATGCACTCACTTTGTTTTGGTGACATATGCAGTTAAGGAAATGCAGGCCTTGAATTAGTTTATCTGTCATGCACTTTTCATTGGTAATGATGAAGCATAAGTGTCTATTATGTTTGGAGCACGATAACAGAGGGATACAAACGCACCCTAAGTTTTGCCCATACAACTTGAAGCTGCATATCTTTGTCTCTGTCAAGATGTGCCTGTAGGATCGGAATTAACATATTAAATGGTATCGATGGTCCTTTCCTTGTATCCTGGGCACCAGATGATGCTTGTTGACCAACAGTTTGCTTTACATTCTGCTGAACTACTGAAGGCTGGGTAACATCCACCTTGGTGCCTGCAAAACTCTGTTGACCAAAACACCCTGTTTCTTTTTCAGCTAACTGGAAGCTATTGGTTTCAGCCTGTTGTAGTTGAATTTCTGGACGTGCTTGTTGTAGGTGGGAATTCTGTTGCTCTACTTGGACAGGTTGTTCATTTTTTGAACCTTCAGTTATTTCTGTTTTGGAGAACTGATCTGCTGTATTCACATGTTGTTGCCCTACTTGTTGACTTGGATGGACACTTCCTTCCTGCTCTGTTGCTTGCAACTGATCATCTGGAGCTTTTGACATAGCACTGCTTTACTGGCGCAAAGTACCTGATCACGGAGATTATTTATTATCACCAAAAACAAGTGGTGACATCACATTGTTGAAAAGCTATGAGTAGCAGGATTTTTATGAACAGGAAGCTGCAGTGAAATACAAATTTGGGATCGAGAGATACCCGCGGGGGGGAGGGGGGGATGCAAAATTTAGCAAGACTTTATACTTGGTTGCCACTGTTCGTTTTATTGATTATTTCCAGAAGGGGCCCCAGCCCCTCTTGTTCTCTTGTTTACTAAAAAAATAATTTAGCAAGACATCATTATCGACATTCAACAGGCACATCTATAAGAAAGAGGAAAGGGATCCCAGCAACAAAATGAAAGACAAGGATCATTCGTTCCATATGCATTGTACAAATGACTCGTTAGACGTATACTTGCCATGAATTGTTCCGCTATGTGTCATCCTAATCATTATTATTTTGTATGAGGCTATGATTCCAGGACAACGCAGCGTAGTCATCACCTAATCATCAACAGTCAGCCCAGACTAGATAATTGTGTCCAACTCAACTAGCTAAGCAAGTCGTGTGAGCTCTCCTTACCAGCTAGACTGCTGGCATCGTCTAAGTTGTCAAGGGCAACTTGCCGGGGCCTGGCCCAATCTAAGGTGAGCAACGGTTCAAGGGCGAACCCAGTAAAGCATGTATACACTTGTAATTAGATCAGATCCGAATACAGATAGCCAAATAGCTTAAGTTAGGGTTCGGTCCCCTATTTCGCACAGCAATGAAGGGTGAGCATACCTGATGGGTGCTCGTCGCCGGCGAAGGACGCGACGAAGTCCTGGAGAAGAGGGCCGACGAAGGCCTGGTTAGCTTGCGTAGGGTGTCGCCACGTCGGCGGTATGAGATTTGGGAGAGCTCAGAACTTCAGAAGCACACTCACCGGCGGTCCAGGGGCGCTGGCGCGCTGCTCTGCAGCTTGGCGCAGCCGGCGGCCGGCGGCGTGCAGCTTGCTCGGATGATCGGCAGTCGACACCTCGGCCACGCGTCCACGCGCGCAGCCCCGGCGGCGTGCAGCTTGCTCGGCTGCTCGGCAGTCGGCACCTCGGCCACGCGGCCACGCGCGCAGCCCGGCTCGGTGATCAGCGCCAGGCCCAGGCGGGGGCGCGGGGCGGAGTCCGGCGGCCGGCTGGGTGCCTCTCCAGCGGCTCGGCCTCCGCGCTCGGGGCGGCAGCGCTCGCGCTCGAAGTCGGAGGCGGCGTCTTGCGTGTTGCGTCGCGGCCAAGGGGGCTCGGGGTCGGCCGGTCGGTCGCTCGCGTGGGGATGGGCAGCTGCCGGGAGGAGAAGAGCTAAATGTGGCCAGTGGCCTTCTTTCCGTTCTTTGTTGGGCTAGATTTTTTATGGGCTATAAGTATCGAAAAGGCAAAAGTCTATTTTTCCTCCCTCATCTCTTGCAGTCGTCCGAATTTCCTCCCTAGCCATAAAACCAAGAATCTTTCCTCCTCCATCTATGAAAACCGGTTATTTTTGCACTTTGGTTGGTTTCGCAGGCTGTTTGTGCCTAGGTGGACCGCCGACACGGCAACCACGCTGACGCCGTTTCAAAGGATGCGGCCAGCGGCCGAGCGAAACCCTAGGCCATTCTCGTCGCTCCTTTCCTCTCTCTCTCTCCGCTTCCTCTCTCCCCCGTTATTGTCCACTGAACCGTAACCAAAGCTCCACCATTGCCATTGATGTCGGCCTCGGCCAGTACGAGCTCATCGCGCGCATCCTGGGCCGGCGATGGAGGCGTACGGCAGTCGCCGATACCCTACCGGGTCGGTCCTCTCGCCTACGAGCCAGCGGTGCTGTGCTACTACGGGCATAAGGCTGCTCGCTGGATCTCATGGAGCGACGATAATCCAGGCCGTAGGTATTTCAAGTGCTATCGTGCTCGGGTGAGTGAATGTTGAATTGATGGTGTTCTGAATCCTTGATTTTGGTTGCCAATTTCTGGTTTTGGATGCTAATTTGGGAAAAAAATTCTACATAGAGTGGTGGATGTTCCTTCCGTGGGTGGTATGAACCTCCGCATGATGATTTTGTACGAGATCTTCTAGTCGATTTGCGTGATGCCATGTGGAATCTAAAAAGGGAGAGGGGCAATTTACAGCAAGATCTTGCTGCTATCGGGAACCAGCTTGAGCAAGAGAAAACAGAGAATGCACGCTTACTTACTGCTATCGGGAAGCAGCTTGAGCAAGCGAAAACAGAGAATGCACGCTTATTAGCCAAGGGTGAAGAACGTGTTGCCTCCCTTGCTAAAGTGAAGATGGAGATGCAGAGGCTTGTGTTGTTTCTGGTGTTATTGGGACTAGTCATGGTAGTAGTTGGTATGAGGTTAGTGTAGAAGGAAGAGAAATGATGTCTAGATTGGGAATCCCATAATGTAATGTGTAGTACTGATGTATTGTTTGGCACATTATAATCTGTGAAGAGAATATGGTGTTTGTGTTTTACTGAAATATGGTAATTTTTATTGTAAAATAGTTATTAACAAAAAATGGAACTTTAACCAAAAGACGGTAAAACATGGTAGCAAGAAATGTCTCCAAATGTCTGAAGCACACATCCATACATAAGTCTGCAAATGTCTGAAGCACAAATATCATAAGTCTGGTTATACAAACACGTGCATGTCTGGTTGCACATACATAAGTTTAGGTACAAATAGCACACATCCATACATAAGTCTGCTTGCACATGAACTAGAGCATCACATATTTGCTTATTCCCATGGTGGAAGCATGAGCATAGGTCCTGGGCGTGGGTTACTTTTTTTAGCCTTCCCCAAACGTGGAGCAGTGGCAGATACTTGTGCAGATGCTGTCCCAGAGGTGATGTTGATGCTAACACTTGCACTTGCATGAGGTCTTGGCGCATTTGCTAAAAGCTGCATAGTAGCAGAACCACTGGTTGTAGTTGTTACCTTTGCACTTGCTTTACTGGTGACCATCTTCTGGAATGCAAGAAACCAGGAAGAGTGTTAGGCAACATAGTATGCAAGATATTTAGAAACAATATAAAGGAAGGCATCTGTTACGTTCGATTTGGAGCCTTGGCATGTAGTCACTGTAGGATTCTTCCTTTTTTTTGAGGTGGAGCAGGTTTCATCAGTGTTTGACATCATCACAATGGCTTTGGAAGCACCATGAATAGGAGCCATCGACTGTGCATAGCCATCATTGGAAGAAGCAGCAGTACCTATTCCTATAAGAATTCAACTTCTTCAAAATGTTAGGGCATATGAAGGTAGACCACCTATGTGATTTAGTAACATTGTCATGGATCCTAACCATCACTTTCCTTCTTATTGTTTCTAACATAGTGATTATTGAAAATATCTAGCTTCGACAATCCACTTGTTAAATGACTCACACAAATTGTTATCCACACTATCACAATTTGATCCTAACCTGAACCATGCCCTGCTCTAGTGTTGTGGATGAGTGTTAAGAATAGCTTGAGCTCCTTGAACTGTTGCCCTAGCTAACCTTGCTCTAGCCAAGTTGAACAACATCAGACAAGGGGCCTTGGCACAAGTCCAGAACTTCTTCTGCCACTCCTTTTCAGTGAAATGTTTCTTCCAATTAGCATATATATGCCTTGCACAATTTCTGTGTTCTGCATTTGGAGCCCAGTTTTGCACTGCATTTTAAATTCCCTACAATAAACCAACCTAGAGTTACATACTTTTTCGTAACACATGTAATGCAGTAAAGCTCAATATGATGAAGGCAACACACATACCTTTTGCTGATCTGAAATAAACACCCAATCAGAGCCATCACCAACACCCAAGTCCTTAAACAACAGACCACAAAACCAATCCCAAGTTTCATTTGTTTCTTTTTCAACCACAGCCCATGCAATAGGGTACATCTGGTTGTTGGCATCCCTCCCTATAGCACACAACAATTCACCATTAGTTGCACCTTTAAAAAAGCATCAATCTAGTCCCACAACTCTCCTACAACCTGCAATGAAACCTTTCTTCATGGCATCCAGGCAAATGAACATTCTTTGAAAAGTTGGAGGCTCCACATGTGGTTCTTTTACCACTATGACAGTGCTGCCAGGATTACTTCTCAGTAGCTCATCCTTTTAGTCATACAGTCTCTGGTACTGTCCTTTTGTGGAATCTAGTACCTTCTGCATGACCATGGCCTTTGCTCTCTTGAGCTTAGCAATGTTAACATCTGCAAACATCTCTTCTTGCACAGTCTGCTTCATGCTTCCATAATTCCATGTAGGATTGGCCATTATGAACTTATCATACCTCTCTGTAATCCTTCTAGCAGTAACCAACCTGTTGTCCCTCCTAGGAGGACATGTGTGGAATTCATTAAATATGACAATCTACCAGCTCTCAGTCCTAGTGTTGGTTGATAACAAAATGACCCATGGACAGTGCTTCCATTCACACTTTGCCCTCACTCTTGTTGGCTCATCCTTTACGAATTTGATACATTTCCTCTCAGCAAGACCATATCTAATTATTGCCTTCTTAAATTGTTGTTTGCTTCTGAACTTCATGCCCAAGGAGAAAATTGGAGTACCTGGGCTCTTCTTAAACCTTGGTAGGCCATCATTGTTTCTTATTAATTCTCCCTCACTATGAGCTTCCACTTCAGAGGCTTCTTCTTCACTGCTCTTTACATATGGAGTACCATACCCATCTTCAATAATTTCAAATCCGGCAAGCATACCAGTTGAGCCTTTCAGCACCACATCATCTAGTGTTGCACTTTGTCCCTCCTTCATCTTCTTTTTTAAATTCCTGAACTTTTTGATAATTTCTGTAGCTTCATCTTGCTGTGGATCTCAACATATATATCAGCCACCACTCCTTTTTCGATAGCATCTGACATTTGAATGCAAGCATTGTTGTCCAATAGAACACGAAGTCCACTATCAAGTTCTTTACTAGGGAATAACCAGTGCAGCAAAGCCCCCTCTGATATAGTGCAGTGATCTTTTA